GTTCTTGCACACAGGTGTTCTTGTGACACTCCATGTGTTCTCTCTTGCTGTGTGTTCTCATGTGCCTGTGTGTGTGTTTTTATGCATCCTGGACTCAGGTGTACACACAAGCTGTGTGTCACAGCAGAAACCCTGACCTAGGCTTGGATGACAACGGCTTGATTCTGGGAGGCTGAATGAGGTTAGGGGCCAGAGCCACGATGGTCCTGGACGTCACACCTCTGTCTCTATGGCCAGGACTTCTGCAGGAAGACTTGCAGGCTGGTGAGCTGAGGCTCCTCTTCACACAGCACCAGGAGACAGCAGTGCCTGGACTGAGCACACCAGGCCGTGTGACCAGCATGCTCAAACACTCTCTGCCTAGCACCAGGACATCGAGGTGGACAGCGCCTGGCCATGGCCTCCCCACTGTCCCCGCATCTGCTAGCCCTCCTTCTGCAGGTGAAGGACATGAAGCAGAAGCTGGAGGATGTGGAATGAGGCAGCCCATCAGTGTCAAGATCTGTACCTTCCCAGGCCCCTGGGCAGCAGGGAGGTTGAACCTGGGTGGACACCAGCCATAGCTGAGCTTTCCCCATGGCCCCAGCAGCCTCTGTCCTGGTGGAGCAGGGTCACAAGGCCCCTTCCCTTAGGCCCTGGGAAGACCAGTTCCCCTTGCCCTGGTCTGGCTTGCAGATACTGTGCCAGAAATGACGCTGGACTCCTGTCCCTGTGTCCCTGTAGCACAGAGTTCACCACCCATCAGGACCAGGGTGACAACAGTGAAGCCCAGCAGAGTACAGGGTCACTGTGAAGTGGGCAGAGGTAAAGCCAAGTCCTCATGACGTGCCATCTTCTCACTCTCCCAGCCAAGGCGTCCGCAGGACCACACGGGTCCCAGGACGTCTGGCTGCTGCGTGGGGCTGGTGGGGTCAGCACCAGGGAGGCAGAGGCAGGCCCAGCAGCTCCCCCACTCCGCCCCGCCGGGGTGCAGAGGGCAGAGCCTGCTGGGCTCCACAGGCTCGCCTCAGCGCTCTCTCTCTTCCCTTCATAAAGCTAAGGGAATAATTTTTACATATTATCTTCTTTGACACATTATTCAGCTATTAATTAAATAAATAAGACTTGCTGTGCCTGGACTCCTGGCTCACCTGGAGGCCTCGTGCACAAAGACCAAAGCAACATGTGGAAGGACATTTATTCTGAAGCCACTCATGGAAGGGGCACATCCAAAACCACAAAGACGTGCGCCGTTGGTGGGAAAGCGAACTGGCAGAGCCCTTCAGGCCACAGCGTGAAGGCCTCTCCAGGGCTGGGATGGAACTGCCCCTCTCCAGCAACCCACTGGTCCAGAGCCTGGAAGAGCATCCACACCCAGCTCACAGCAGCCAGGAGGGTGCACTGGTGGCCCCGGGGGCTGGAGCGTGAGTGGGACGTGCAATTTCACATAGTGGGGTGCTGCTCCGCAGGAAAGGGAAGGAGAGCCTGCAGCTGCCGCCCCTGGATGCCCTGGGCCCCGCCCTGAGCCCGTGGGAGAAGTACAGCATGGGTGACTCACTTGCTTGAGGTCCCTGAGGCCCAGGCAAAGGAGACCACCTCGGTGGGCCTTGGCTTGCCACCTGGAGAGCCAAGCGCCTCTGCAGGTGGGGTGCTGAGGGTTGTGCAGGGGCCTGACTGTGCCTGAGACCTCAGACGGCTGGGTTAAAAATGCAAATGCCAGGTGGCACGTGTCTCACGGCAACTTAAAACACAGTGCATGTGAATTTAAGGGATGTTCTGAAATTAAACACATTAAACACGGTCTATGCCTGTGTGGCCTGAGCTGCCTCATTTGCCACAAAGGCACCTCAGGTTTAGGACACACGAATGTGTGACTGGTCGGGGGGCAGGCAAGCACCGGATGTTCTGCAGCACTGCTAGGAGGAGCACACAGTGTGTGCGCCACGTGCAGCTCCAGCCAGGAGCCCAGACATGCCTGACCTCGGCAGGCGGAGTGACAGCCTGCCGCATCTCGGGAGAGAGACCAGGACATGCAGAGGCCAGCAGGGCTGCAGCGGGATGACCCCTCCCCGGTTGCCAGCATGGCCAGGTCTTGCCAGTCAGGGCCCTTGCCCTCAGAGCCCTCCTGTGGCAGGAGTCACACTTCTGGGTCACCTGGAACCCAGAGTGGCCTGGAAGCTCCCAAGTCTCCTAGGATCCTGAAGGATATGGTTCTGCAATCTGGACTCTGGTGCACACAGAGTGGGTCCCAGGACAGATATGGTTCTGCGGAACTTGACAGCCATCGACCCAGGTGAGAGGCCACGGTAGGTCTAGGTGAGCCACGGCAACCCAAGACAGCCAGGGCACACTAATCAGCAGGCCAGAACTGGTGAGGACTGGCCACTGCAGCTTATCAACACTCCGAAGAGAGTGCTCACACACCCATTCCATGATCCATGACCCAGGTAGAGGCAGATATGAACAAGGACACGAGTATGGACATGCACAGACTTATAGACATGGCCATAAACAGACACTACACACAGCTAGACAGAGACAGAGAGATATGGACAGACACATAGACACAGGTAGACATAGACAGGTACATAGACACATACATATAGACACATAGACAGACACATAGATATAGACATAGACATAGATACAGACAGATACATAGACATAGATATATAGACATAGACATAGATATAGACATAAACATAGACATAGATATATATACAGAGATATAGACATAGACATAGATAGATAGACATAGGCATAGACATAGATATAAAGACAAAGACACAGATATATAGAAATAAACAGATACATAGAGACATAGACATAGATACAGACAGACACATAGACAGACAGACATAGGCATAGATATAGACATAGACAGGTATACAGACATAGATATATAGACATAGACATAGGCATAGATATAGACAGAGACATAGACATAGACAAACAGATACATAGACACAGACACAGATAGAGATGTAGATATAGACAAAGACATAGGAAGAGACAATAAGACAGATATAGGCATAGACTTACAGACAGACACGGATATAGTCAGACACGGATATAGACACAGACAGACATAGATAAAATCAGAGAGAAAGACACACAGATATGCACATAGACGTACAGATACAGACATAGATTACAGACACAGACACAGATATGCACATAGACATACAGATACAGACACAGACATAGACATAGATTACAGACAGACACAGACACAGATATGCACATAGACATAAAAGTACAGACAGACACAGACATAGATTACAGACAGACACAGACATAGATATGCACATAGACATCCAGATACAGACAGACACAGACACAGACATGCACATAGACATACAGATACAGACAGACACAGACACAGACACAGATATGCACATAGACATACAGATACAGACAGACACAGACATAGATATGCACATAGACATCCAGATCTGGACAGACACACACATAGATTACAGACACAGACATAGATATGCACATAGACATCCAGATACAGACAGACACAGACACAGTTATGCACATAGACATACAGA